CCAAACAAGGAACATGAAATAAAGCGGACCCGCCAATTCTAAGTCAATCACGACTGGATTCTATATAACTCTAGCATATACACTTAGTGATTATGGTTGAAAACTAACAATTCTAGACAGAATGTAGTCTTAAAAACCAAAGACCGAGACTATGCCTATCATAGTTCATCAAGTGGTGATAGTGGACGTAAACTATACATATCATAATTCACCAAATAGTGGTAGTGATAGTGAACATGAATTATGCATATTATAGTTTATCCGAAAGTGGTGATGGTAGTGAACATAAACTATACATATCATAATTCACCAAATAGTGGTAGTGATAGTGAACATTAATTATGCATATTATAGTTTATCCAAAAGTGGTGGTGGTAGTGAACATAAACTATACATATCATAATTCACCAAATAGTGGTAGTGATAGTGAACATGAATTATGCATATTATAGTTTATCCAAAAGTTTATCCAAATTGTTTGTAATGTAATGCAACCTAACTATACCTACTATAGTTAGCGTATTTGTTGGTAGTGTACACTTATTATAGTTTATTGTAATTATTTGTAGTAGTGGCAAACCTTGGTATATGATTCATATCTTCAAGATAAGGTAAATAATATGTATTATCATTCACATGTATTCAATTAGTACTATACTTGTCATGGTTTACCAAATGTTTGTATGTAACGGATGTAAACTTTGTTTATGACGATTTATTATTTCACCATACTTAATATAGTAAAAACCCATTTGTTTTCTGATGTATGTCTACATACCAAGACAAAATGACACATAATGTAATAATATATAATCACATAATGATACACACCTTGCTCAACAAGTTACAAGGTGTGAATGAAATAGATCATATTTATCTAGTGTTAAGCATGTCTTTTCTGTTCTTGGAAAATTTATAGAAAAATAATCAAAGGTCCAAATCAGAACCCGTAAATTCTGAGAGTTTGAAAAATGTGTCTAGTTCGTTCATAAATTTTATTATGATTTTTAGTGATCTCTAACTTGTGTGAAAATATCCATATTCACATACTGGTCCGGATTTGTTCTTGAAATGATAGGCTGTTTTGTAAAAATCACCATAAATCGTAGAAAAATCGTATAGAGATGTTCAAGTAGTCATTTTAAAGGTATAAACCTGAACTATTTGCATCTAATACATTTTGGAAAACTAAAATGTTTAAGTTAACCAAAACAGTCCGTGAATGGAGTTAAACTTTCCTGATGAAAGCTGTTGGAAAAGTTTAGTTGTGTTCTTGGTGTTTTAACTTGTATTCCCCCCTTAAAACTTAAGAAAACATGAAAATATAGGGGTATGAGCTCACCTTGTGTGTTCTTAGTGGATGGATGTTGAAGAAAAGGAGTGTTCAACTCAAGAACACTTAGAAGATGCCTTGAATATTCGAAGATCTAACATGAAGGTGATGATGTTTGTGTAAGATATCTATGATTTGAGTAGAAAGGAGTGAAATAATCATATGGAGGATGTTAATACTTACCAAAAGTAGAAGAAAATCTTGGAGGATAGCCTTAAATCTCGAAATTTAGAGAGAGAATTGAGAGATAAAGGTGTTTGTCTTTTGGAGGAAAAATGAGAGAAATGAGAGAAATGTGAGGAGAGAGGAGGGTTTTCTAACCCTTGACCAAGTGTATGCCTGGAAAATGGTGGCAAAAGTACTAATGAATGACTAGGTATGGTGGAAGGAGATGAGTTGGTCATGGAGTGGTCATGGGGTGGTTGCTTGTGTCATACACCAAAGCAAAGTCAACACTCCACCAATAATATCCCACCCACTCTTCTTGGATAAGGATTTTGCCTCTAAACGTGATTAATTATGAAATAAGGGGTTTTATATGTTAAAATATGGTTTTGGGTGAAAATCCCGCGTTAAAATAATTAAAAACGGACTTAAAATGCAAAACTATTCGAAAACCGGGTGAAAATGGCGAACCTGCGAGGCTTCTCGCATTGGGGAACCGAAGGTGGCAAGTTTCGGTCCTAAGGAGGTGGGGACCGAAGTGGCTTGTGAGGCTAGGAGCGAAGGCGAAGTGTCAGAAGCGAACCTGGGCGAGGAGCGAAATAGACCGAGAGGAGGTTCGGTCAGAAGGGACCTTCAGGTTCGGTCCTCGTGGTTTCGGTTCAGCAGCTTCGGGTTCGGTTCTAAGAGGCTAGTTTCGGTTCTGAGCAGTTCGGTCCCTTAGGTCTCGGTCCTTAGCAAGTTCGGTCCCTATAGGGGACTTCGGTTCTTAAGAGGGTTCGCCCCTTCAGAGAGGGTTTTGGTTCCTTAAGGCTATCTTACCCATTTTTGCCCGGTTTTAAGTGGTTTTTGACCCGGTTAAGGGTCGGGATGACCCGAATGATTATGAAAAGTTAAAGGAACTTTTGAGAGAGATTTGGGAGAGATTCTTAATAGAGAGAGATAGAGTGAAAGAGATTGGGAGAGATTTCGTTTGCGACCTCTTTGAGTGTTTGGCTTCGCAACGCAAGGTCCGTAAACCCCGCTAAGCCATGTTTAAGGATCTTAAACACTCCCGATGAGTATGCAATAGTGTTTTATCCCTTTGGCTCATTACTACCATAGTTTTAGGTTAAGGAAATCTAGATATATGAACTTTTCAATTGATGATTTCTCATTAGAATAGCAAGTTGTACAGTAATTACCTAACGTAAATCCTAGTATACAAGTCGACCGGTTTGACTTGTTGACTTTAGTTGACTTTGACTTGACAGAAAATTGACGGTTGTCACACCCACCACCATCGTCGTCGCGACCTCCACTACCACCGCCGCCGCCACTGTCACCAACACTACCGCCTCCACCACCATCACCACCACCCACCACCACCGCTACCACCATCTCCTCCACCACCACCACAACCACCGCCTCCACGACCGCCACCGCCACCAACACCACCGTCGCTGCCACTACCATCACTCACCACCACCACCAATACCAACACAACTGTCGTCGCTCCCAACTATATATATATATATATATATATATATATATATATATATATATATATATATATATATATATATATATATATTGGGATCCTCACAGTTACTCCTAAGTTACCATCCATATTTAAGATGGAAAACATAGTGTTACCAAATAGAAATATATATATATATATATATATATATATATATATATATATATATATATATATATATATATTGGGATCCTCACAGTTACTCCTAAGTTACCATCCATATATAAGATGGAAAACATAGTGTTACCAAAGATACACCTTATAAACCAGTAGCTTTCCAAAACTCCAACTCAAGTCCATAAACCCAAAACCTGACATCCTAAACCCTAAACCATAAACCGTAGACACTGAACCATATATAAACCGTAAACCCTACACCCTAAACCCTAAAGCCTAAAACCTAAAACCTAAACCAAAAGAGTCAATCTTCTTGGTATATCATCTTGCATTGTATCAAGGTGAACAATCTAAATTCACTAAAAATATATTGTTGAGAATAACATATGTAATTTACGAAATACCGCCTCCTCTTGATGATAAAGGGTTGTAGTAGATGATTGATTTGAAATGATGATAATGTGATCCTCACAATTACTCCTAAGTTACCATCCATATTTAAGATGGAAAACATAGTGTTACCAATTATATATATATATATATTATATATTATATATATATATATATATATATATATATATATATATATATATATATATATATATATATATATATATATGGAAGACTGACCATGAGTCTAGTTCTTTATACCACAATGGGTCAAGAAGAGTCAAAGATACACCTTATAAACCCGTAGCTTTCCAAAACTCCAACTCAAATCCATAAACCCTAAACCATAAACCGTAGACACTAAACCATATATAAACCATAAACCCTACACCCTAAACCCTGAAGCCTAAAACCTAAAACCTAAACCAAAAGAACCAATCTTCTTGGTATATCATCTTGCATTGTACCGAGGTGAATGATCTAAATTCGCTAAAAACATGTTGTTGGGAATAACGTACGCAATTTATGGAATACCACCCATCACCGCCACCACCGCCACTGCCACTACCACTACCAGTACTACCGCCGCCTCCAGCACCACCACTGATACCATCACCCACTAGTACCACCTCCGTCTCCACCACCACCACCGCCGCTGCTAACACCACTGCTACCACCCAACACCACCGTCGCCGTCACCTCCACTACCATTGTCGCCACCACCACCACCCACCACCACCACCACCACAATCACCGCCTCTGCCACCGCCACTGCCGCCGCCACCGTCACCAACACCACCGTCGCTGCCACTACCTCACTCACCACCACCACCAATACCAACACAACCGTCATCGCTCCCAACTATATATATATATATATATATATATATATATATATATATATATATATATATATATATATATATATATATATATGATAATGGGATCCTCACGGTTACTCCTAAGTTACCATCCATATTTAAGATGGAAAACACAGTGTTACCAATTTATATATATATATATATATATATATATATATATATATATATATGGAAGACTGACGATGAGTCTAGTTCTTTATACCACAATGGGTCAAGAAGAGTCAAAGATACACGTTATAAACCAGTAGCTTTCCCAAACTCCAACTCAAGTCCATAAACCCTAAACCCGACATCCTAAACCCTAAACCATAAACCGTAGACACTGAACCATATATAAACTGTAAACCCTACACCCAAAACCTTGAAGCCTAAAACCTAAAACCTAAACCAAAAGAACCGATCTTAGTGGTATATCATCTTGCATTGTGCCAAGGTGAACGATCTAAATTCACTAAAAACATGTTGTTGGGAATAACGTATGTAATTTACGGAATACTGTAGTGGAATATGGTTTTTGGTGCTCTAGTGTTTATCATGTTCTAGTGTTTATCATGGATAAAATTATTTTTAATTTGTATAATGTTGTTAGGTTATAAAAATGGATGAGGTACGACCAATAAAAAGAAAAAGACGTCAACGCGGTATTGTTGCATTCAAGAAAAATTATCGTCCTGAAGAGTATAATGTTAAGTTCAATGAGAATAATATCCCAAATGGTGGCATGTCAACCCAATTTATGTCTTGGTTTGGCATGAATGTTCAACAAAGGTTTCCAATAGATGAAGATCCGGGTAAAGTTAAAGATAAATATTTTAACGATTTATGGTTGGAAGCCAAGGTATTATATTTTAATTTTTACAAATATGAATAACTTGTTAGTTAGTTATTATGTTGAACATTTTTTGTTTTGAAATTGTAGAAGTAGTGGAATATCGAGTCTGATGACATGAAATATTATATGAAGAGGAGAGCTGTGAAACTTGCCTCAAATTTTAAATCAAGGCTAGTTTCAAATTTTTTTAAATAAATAATTAAATGCATGTGCTATATATACCTTTATACCTGGCGATGTATGGGATAGATTCGTTGCACAAAAACTACCCCTGAGTTTTTGGTCTGTTTTAATTGTTTATTTATTATTATTATTGATAATATTATTAGTATGTTTACAAATAATTAATAACATTTTGTTGATATGTATGTAGGCAAAAAGTGCAAAAGCTAAAGGAAATAGTGCTAAAAAGAAATCCCAAAACCGCGTAGGACGAGGTGGATGGCCGGGTCTTGAAAAAAGCACTTATTATATGGCCTCAACTTTTAGCAAAATATGAGTTTCTAGAACGTATATAAAATGAACGGTCTAAGTTGCATTTAATGTCTTTCGCAATAAAAGACAAAGAAAGCATATGTATGATCTTCCACAAAAGACAATTGAAGATTTCAAAATTTTGGTAACAATTATGTTTTTTAAATAATGAGACTTTGATTATTTTTAGTAAATAAATGTTACCAAGTATTTTTTTTATATAGGAACGAGAAGAGACTTTTGGGGCCCGAGCACGGGGGGATCACAGACAGTATCCAATATCATTGGGCCTACTAAGGTTTTTGGGTGGATTGTTTAAGAATGTGAAAAAAAAGTCGAAACTCGATACCACAGGTCGACACGAGCCCAACATTCCGTGAATCTAATGGTGTTTGGTGGACGATTGGTAAATATCCACCTATTGAGGTAATATATTTATAGTTTTTATATAAACTTATATTAGATGTATAGTTTTTTTGTATGATTTGTAGGTTATGACAACATGTCATTTGCTATTAAAAGTTGCTGATACTGAGTTGAAAGTAGCTTATGGTATGGCATGGCCAACCTCAGAAACGGTTATACATTCAAAACCAGTAAATGAAGGTTGTGTTAAAGTTCAGGTTGATGAGATCATAGAAATATATGAGAACTTGCTTGTGCATGTCGTAACACGAACGGATGAAGTTGAATTTGTTAAACATCTGCTTCATACCATCGTTCAATGGCCGAGATATGCATTAAAGGTATATTTTTATTTAAATACAAAAATATATATATTAATATAGTTTTATTTAAATATTACAATCTATTTAGCTTGCAAACAAAACACTGAGCAAGTCAAATAGTGGTACGAGAATGGGCTCGAATACACGTTGATGACACCACAACTTCATTTTTTCGTCCACAGGTAGTCGTAGTCGACTAATTCACTCTTATAAAATGTTGTTAATTTAGTTTTATTTGTTAATATTATAACAATTTATTTGTTATTTTAGTTTGAGGAAAACCACTTTCCTTATCATCATCAAATGGATGCTAATGAACCTTTTCAAGGTGGTTTAGGTGGTTTAGTTGATATGGTTAGTCTTAAAAAAACTTGTTTTATGTTTGTTTTTGAGTGTTTAATGTTTGTATATAATCATATGTAGTACTAATGATTTATGTTTGTTTTTAGATATTATCTATGAATCCACCACAAATTGATTTAAATGCACTCGGAGTCGGGCCCGGGCTAGAACGTGAACGTGAACCCGAACCCGAACTCAATCACGAAACCGAACCTGAACCCGAACCCGAATCCGAACCGGAACCGGAAGCCGAATCCGAACCGGAACCGGAACCCGAACCCGAGCCCGAACCCGAACCCAAACCATTTACATTTGTAGATCCTGATCTTTATATATCCTTGAGCAAAGTACAACAATAAGTCCTAAAATTCAAGCTATTGCTTTTCAAGTAGCAAACTTTTTTAAGAATGCACATGGCACATATATTTTTTCACCCAGAGGGATGTATCGCGACAAAGTTCGACTTCCCATCCTATATAGCGAGGTGTTACAACTATTTTTAAGGGGTTGACTTGATTATAGCATTATACATTGGTTTGCGATGTAAGTTATTATATTTTTAATATGGTATAATAACATTTAGATATAATTAATTTTACTAACATTGTGTAGTATATATAGGTGTTTTTCTAGGTCTCCCAATTCCGAATGCGCTTTTTTTGATCCGTTACGCATTGCAAGATTAGATACACAAATAAGGATGACGGCTGTCGCCGAACATATCGTAGAAGTATTTTCGTATCATGAAGGCAAAAAATATTTTCTTGCTCCATATTTACAGTGGTATTTTTTTCTTTCCATAATACATTCGCATACATATACACACTACACATATATGCTTAGTTGTTCTATATATTTTATATTTTTAGTGACCATTGGGTTCTTTTTATCCTATGTCCGAATTGCAAATCTGCTTATATTCTGGATTCTTCAAAAAATGATCCGAAGAAATTAGACGAATACCTTTTTGCTTCTTTGATAAGTACAATTTTCTCGGGACGATTTGATAAGTGGGAGAAGGTAAAGATATGTTTTCTGTTGTTTTTATCAATTTATTTCAAATGGTTTGAAATATGTAATTGTGAATTAAATGTAGTGCTATAAACAAAAAGGTAGTTGGGAATGAGGATATATAGTGATTAAACACATGCGAGAGTTTGTTGAGACCATTCAACATGATTTTCAAAATAAAGTAAGTGTTTAGTATATACTAGGTTATAACCCGTGGACACCACGGAGAGAAAGAAAAGCACTAAAACTAAATAATAAATGTGATCGTTAAACAATGATTAGAATAAATTTATTAATTTATCACCTTTACCCGATAAAGCACCTTGAGCATACAATGTTAAAACAACTTGTATTTAGATGAAGACACGAGCAAAATTGTATTTCTCAAACATAGTCTCCACCTAAAATCAAGGTTAATCGACAATTAAGTTTGCATACTTCATTTGAAACTGTAACTTGAAAATCATTTTTAGGAGTATATTGTTGAACATACCATCTCAACCCCGTTCTTTACAAGATTCGAAGATTATATACATAAACTTTTAATTTTTTTCTTATTTCATAGTGAAGTGAAATGTGTACCAATAAATGAAATCATGTATGTTTTGTGTAAACGTTTCAGGATGTCAAAATTGGAATTCAATAGCTCAAAAACATGCTAGGAATGGAGTGGTGAGTAAAAAATCTTCCAGTTTGTTTAAATTGCTTTGATATTTTTTTCGTAATATTTAAAATTTGTCATTTTTGTCATTATGTTCAATTATTATGCTGTAAATAAGAAAAACTCCACATCCAATTACAAAACCAAATCAAAGTCAAGATTTTAGTGATTGTGTTGTAAGTACAAAAAAACACCAATCATAAAAAAAAGTCACACAACAAATATAACTAGACACATAACATATATAGACAACCACACATATAATGAGAAAATTACACAACTTAATGAAAGTACATTGCTATGAAAACTAAGAAAAGTATTGTTTGATTACACAAAATAACCATAGTTTACAAATACACAAACATTGTTTTTCAAAACAAAAAAAAAACTATAAAAAGTATGATGCTATAATTTGCTAATTAGACATTAACAAAAGTACATTGTTGTTTTTGCATTTAAAAGGGATGTATAAATAAATGAAAAAAATAGCATGATACTTTTGTAAAGTAAATTAACGGGGACAATTTCTGAAAAAAAAAACTTCAACAAATGAAAGGACCAAATTGTCCTTTTTGCCCTTTATTCTTTTTATTGCACCGAATCATTCATCCTTAGTTAATTTTAATAACACATATATTAAAAGACATTATTTTATAATTAAGGTTAAAAGAACCACCATTATTTCTTTTAAACAGAAAAGGGCATAAAAAGGACCATTATGCCCTTTTCTATTAATATTGTGCCTTATCAAGAGAAAAAAAACCTGTCACGGTAGTGACTCCAAGAAATATCCAAAAAAGACCAATTTCCCCCCAAATACCCATTCTCAAACAAAACATACTCAATGGAGGATGTTTCTCCAAATTATGAATCCACGTGTTTCATGATTATAGCACATAGAAACCTTTAAAAACACCAAAAGTCATAAAATGTTTGAACCAAACAAACCATAATGTCAAAAAAAAATAGCAGGAAAAAAACTCATAATTGTACTTAAAAGTAAAAAATCAATTACTTTTCAACCTTGACCTTCAATCTGTTCTCCTAGTGATGCTGACGATAGCTTTGATCTTTTTGCCCTTTATTTTTTTTATTGAACCAGATCATCCATCAATCAAAAATCGATGACTAAACACAATATATGAGACAAAATGTCAAAATGGTCAATTTAAGTAAAAAAACAGGAAAAAAAAACTTAAAAAAATGAATAAAAACATAAAAAATAACATTGTATTTGGATTGAATGGTTGAGGATATGGTAAAAGCCATCACAGGACCAAATTGCCCTTTTTTTCCATTATTCTTTTTATAGCACCAGATCATCCACTCTTAGAGTAAAAAGAATGAAAAATCTAAAATTTATGTTATAAGAGTTTTACATAAGAAAAGTCTGATGCTATAATATGCTAATTAGACTTTAACAAAATAAGAATATTCGAGTAAAACACATCCTTGTTAAAAAGAAACGAAATATAAAAAAAGATTCATACTTTCAATGATGTGTAATTTCACCATCAATAAAAAATAGATGACTAAATAGCATGGTACTTTTGTAAAGTTATTTAACTTAGACAGTTTCGGAAAAAAAAAACTTTTGATAGATGAATAAAAACATAAACAATTAACATTGCAGTTGCATTGAATAGTGGATTTGAGTAATAAATCTCAACTGAAACAAAATAAACATATTTATATCAAACAGAAAGTACTAACCTTATGTTCTTTTCATCATTTCTTCTTAGTTTTGGTGGGTGTTCGGAGTTATGATCAACCAAAATTAATTTGTATGGGTAGGTGGGAAGAGCACAACATCGATTGAAATTTGTGGCAGAAGACCAGATTAAGCATATATGTATATGATTTATTTTGACCCTGTTTTTTGGGATTCAATCGAAAATTATATGCATTTCAGTTATTTTTTACATAAACAAATTCTGAAAATATTGGTACAACAGAAAAGCTATCAAAATCGGTGGCAAAAATTTAGGGGGATTAAGCGCATTTTAGTTATATCTGATTAGAGGTATTTTTGGTATTAGATAAGGTATTTAAAATAGAATTCCTGATTTTAAGGGATATTGCCGATTACATTAAAACAAGATTTGAGCGGGAAAAAATTTAGCAGAATACAGGAAATTGTGCCACGTGGCAAAAATAGTTGTAAAAAGATGACATGTGGACAAAAAAGAGTCTTTTATTAGAGATAGATTTAAAATATCAATTTTTCTATATAATTGTATACATATTTATATAATTTATTTGTTTGTTGTAGTTTTGGAAAAAGAAGATGTTTGTTTTGCCTGATAAACTTAAAGATATGGTCTTAGAAATGATATCACATTTGATTGAAATGGTGATTGATAGTCGGAAAAGAACTCAGTAAGAATTCATTAGGATGTTTTGTGTTTTATTATAACTAAAACTTAAACTATAAAGTAATTGCTTTTTGTGTAATGGTGCAGTATTTTGTAATACCTTTTTGTTTATTGGTATTTTTTTTGCTACCATCAATGGCAACCGAATTGTGCTATTTAATAGAGCGTTTTTTGGTGCATTTCTTATCTATAAGGCGGTTCTACATTTTCTAATGTTGTTGACTAACAGCATCAACAAATGATTGATGATATTATATGTTGCCATTCGTATTGTATTTTAAAAGGCGGTTTATTTTCTAAGACTGTTCAACAAAAGCATCAAAAAATACGTCTATTTTATTTTATGAAGCTATATTTTATAAGACGGTTTTGGACAGCATCAAAAAATAAGTCTATTTTATGAAGCTATTTTTATGAGGCGGTTTTGGACATTTTCTAAGACGGTTGTAGAACCGCCTCAAAAAACAACACTATTTTATGATGTTATATTTTTTGAAGCGGTTAAATAACCAAGAAATAAAATAAACCGTTTTATTAAACCTCTTTTGTACTAGTATGCTTTCATGAACATTAAATTTTAAAAAAACTTCCATGACTCTATTTTCATAAATATTATAATGCACATGTCGAAGCCCTTAGATGAGATCCAACCATACTCTTTTATCTTAGTTTAAAAGAAAATCATAATTTTGTAGTGTAAACGGACTGATTGATGTTGTCATCAGGTTCACTTTGTTCAAACATGATTGTAATTTTATTTTACCCAATTATTTAGACTTTCATTCTAGCTTTTAATAAGATGTAAACACTTAAAAATGTAATTCTAATTAATAAAAATCAATCGCTGGTTTTAAAATGAGACTAAAAATGGTAGAAGTCTTTACTCTCTGCACATCGTTGGATATTTGTTTCATCACTTTACACTCTTCGCCAAATATTGTTTGCAATATAGTTTTCTTGCTGTAAAAAAAAGTAATAATTTTTAATTGTTATATTAATTGTAAATTTCGAGTTGAGTAATTTTAACCATTTATAAATATCTACAAGTTGTTCACTTGGACTCGTTCTATCGTTACATAATTAATAGTAGTAAAAGATATCTAATAAACTATAAACTACCAGTACCCATGCATCTTCGTGAGTCAAGTGGCCAGCAAATTGGCATAAACTATACATTTTTTTTATGATTCTGACTGAGCAGTTGTATAGTTTACGACTTTAAGTCAAATTGTTCTTTAAAATCAGGCACTTGACTCACGAAGATGGATGGTAGATGACAATGGCTTTGGAACACAAAATCATGGTTGAAGCCTCACCCTATAAGTACAACATCACAGTACTTGGAGAAAAATGTATCAACATCTAGCTTCTTCCAATCCCTTTCATCATTATTGCTAGAAACTTTCAACTTTTCTTTGACAATTTTAGTCAACAATGTCGTTTTTCATAAGAGAGTTTGAGCACCTCAAAATTTCACTCGAATCCATAAAATCTGCCACCCACAACTTTGATGCATGCAACTTCATTGCAGAAGGTGGATTTGGTAAAGTATACAAAGGAGAGTTCTCACGTTCTGAAGGTCCAACCATCGGTGCTGTAAAGCGCTGGAATGAAGATCTGGATCTGGAGTTTCGAAGGGAAATCATGTTGCTTTCCGATAATAAACATGAAAATCTCATCTCACTCATAGGATACTGTGATGAGGAGAAGGAAAGAATCCTTGTGTATGAGTATGCACCAAACAAAAGCCTTGACTTTCATCTAGCAGACCCCAAGTTGACGTGGGTTCAACGTCTCAAGATATGTCTTGGGGCTGCACGTGGCTTGGAGTACCTACACAATCCCAGGGAAGCCCAACGAGTCCTGCATTGTGATATCAAGAGTGCCAACATCCTATTAGACGAAAACTGGAACGCCAAAATTGCAGATTTTGGTTTCTCTAAATATGGGCCTGCGAACATAAATCGTTCGTATCTCATGACCCAAGCCAAAGGCACGTATGGATATGCTGATCCTGAGTTTGTGGAAACCATGATATACACGAAAGAATCGGACGTCTACTCCTTCGGAGTCGTGTTATTCGAAGTTTTATGCTCAAGGTTTTGTATTGATTTTAGTTGTGATGATGCACGCCGATCCCTAATCAAATGGGTAAAGAAATCATCAAAAGAAGAAATTCGAGATAAGATTATTGATTCTGATCTAAGGAAACAAATGGAACTTCCTTCTTTTGACAAGTTCGTAAAATTGGCATTACAATGTGTGGAAAGAGAGCCGAAACGTCGCCCGTCAATGGATTTCGTTGTGAGAACGCTTGAATCTGCACTCAAATGTCAAGTATGTTATTCTTTCTCTTTTCCCTGTATAGTATTTTTTACTGGAGAAAACAAGAAAAACACCAAATACAATTGAAGTAATATGGAACGGAGACAACCAATACATCATATCATATGGATTAATATATAATATGTCCGATTGAAAATGTGTTTGAAAGTTTGTTTTATAATTGTGATCAAGTATATCATAACAACCTTTTCTTTGCTGATTCTAGGAAAAAAGAAGATTGTCGAAGATCAAAAGAGCTTCAGGTGTCCTGTTGGGCATTGTTGTTGCCACTGTGCTCCTTTAGTCTAGGGGTCATGCTAGCGTTTTTGTTTTAGACTTTTAGTAATATTATCATCGGTTTAACAATCCTGTTTTGGCATTAATTAGCTCTTTCAACCATGTAAAATGCGGTTTGATCGATCAGGCCTCACACTGACGTTTTGGGGGCATTTTAGGCTTCATATGCAATTTATAAAATTTAGGTCTTTATATATACTGGTGTAATTAAAAAGGAGCCAAAAAACCCGAGTCTTGTATTCGCATCACAATCGTTCCAGCCTTTGTTCTAACACAATTTTTTTTTAAAAAAAAAATGCTACAATCTTATAAAAAATATGTTCCATCCTATGTTTAGTTTAGTTTAACGGAAAATCAATGCATTCCACCGACGACTTGTTGTCTGCACAAGGTCGTCAGTATAGCCTTGTCGGTAAAGGTGGAAAATGTCGTGGGGATAGATGTCGTCTGGTCAACCAATCCAGACAACAAGTCGTCGGAAAATTGTTGTCAGAAGTGATTTCGAGAAAAAAAAGTTTTATTATATACTCTAATAGACGACTTATCGTCGATATTATAGATGCAATATGTACCAATGACTTCTTGTTGGGAAAAGGTGTCAAGCAAGTCGTCTGGAAAAGATTGCAACAGTTGTTTCAGTATCAGCTATAGTGACGACATGTTGTCGGTAAAGGTCAAAACCGTTTTTACAATTATGACTTGTACCGACGACATGTCGTCCGTAGAGCTTATTTATTTATTTTTCACATATTTTTTTATATATACCAAACCTATTTTTTTAAAACAAATCTCGACATTATATGTGCGAAATTATGTCAAACAATAAATAAGCATAACAAACCATCAAAGTTCAAATTAAAAATCTACTACAAAAAAATGATAAGTCTTAAACAAACATTGTTCAAAATAACATACAAGATCAAAAACAATCTTCCCACGTCCCCTTGTTCTCCTCGGTTTCGTTGGTTTGTTCGGGGGTATTTTGTGGAATCATTGGGATTGAATTGAAATTGTAACATTGGTGGTGGTTGGAAGTTATTACGAGCGCCAATGAATTATTGTACACTTGTTGCATATATTTCATTTGTTAGGTTAATGCAACAACATGAAAATTATTTGTATTTTGTGGGATATGGAAGATTTGGAATATCTGGAATGTTGATTTGGAATTAAATGATTGTTGATGCTTAGTTTCCTTCCAACTCCACGAACATGTCTACGTCTCTCACAAGGGACACGGGTGAGACAGTGTTCTTCATTTAAGTGTTCGCTTTCCCCGAGCTCTTCTTGTATCTTTCTATACTCTGCTTCAATCTTTTCCTAAAATAAATAAATAATAAACATACATTAATTAAAATAAATAACTAAATTTAAACAAAATAATAATAATAATAATAATAATAATAATAATAATAATAATATGCCTTAAAAAAACTATAACAACAACAACAACTATAACAACAACAACTACTACTACAACAACAACAACATATTAACAACGTAATAACTTCGTTTATTACTTACCAAATCTCTTTCTGATTGCAGTGTAAACCAACCTAGACCTTCCTTATAACGCATTTGTCTTCACATATTAATATGTTGCAAGGCTAGTCCTTTTTCAATCTATAATAAGCCAAAAACATTTAATATATTTATATAAGTGTTAACAAAATTTTTATATAATACAAATAAATTTAATTATTTCCTCACAGTGTATGTCTACATATGACCTACTATCATGTCGTTCGAAGCATCGTCGTCCACTTCTTCCAGTGAATTTATTCTTGCACCTTCCGCGTCATCATATTCGCCAACTTAGTCAAAATAACATTTCAAAACATGTTTATGTTCTTTATAAGCTCTTTGGCAATCGACATTTACAACCGCTCGCATGCTTTCCCACAAAGTTGCACCCCGATACATATCATGATCAAAATATGTCTACAATAAGAAAACAAATTTAATTAGTAAAAAATATTTAAAAGTATACAAATTTTTTACATATAAAAAGTATTGTGTACTTACATCTATCTCAGGATACGTAACCTTTTTGTGTTCTAGAGGAATACGATGCCAAGACTTATAGTGTAGTTGTACATCTTCTACAACAAAATTTAAGATAAAGCTTTTTAACATCTTGTCATTTTTCCCTACGAATCGATAGGTCCGACCACTGTTATCAACTAGCATGTAACACCTGGTTTTCCGTATCGGGTCGATTTAGAGTTTCAAGGAGTCAAGGCATGGTTTTAGGGTAAAACCAAGGCTCACGACGTGAGCCATAGAAGGGTCAGAACGTGAGGAATGATTAAATAAAGATTTTGATTGAAACTGAGCTCACGACGTGAGTAATAAGAGCTCACGACGTGAGATACACTATAGCCCAAGCTCGTGATCTTTTAGGGTTTCCTTCGTATTTAAGTCCCATGAACCTCATTTTAGGGTTTTTAAACAGCCTCATTCGTTCCAAAACTCAGTAAAATCCTAACCCTAGCCTCTCATTGTGATCCTTGAACATTTGGTAGTGTTTTAGTGGCTTGAAGAGGAAGAGATCATCATGAAAGCATGGTTTCAGCTTGAAAGTTTCATTTGCAACCTCTAGCTACACTTCTCGACCAATGTAAGTAATCAAGATCCAAGCTTTATGTTTACTTGTTGCTAGATCTAAGGTTTTATGCATATCTATCCAAGATCTTAGGAGTTAGAGTGTTGGGACTCTATAAAGTTGGCAACTTTATGGGTCCTTAGGATCCCTTGGTGCTTATATGTTATAGATATGAAAGTTTGCAAGATGTTGGAGTTCATATGAGAATTTATCTTCTTTTCTCCATGAATGACCTAGTTTGAGCCCATGTCTTGTATTGGACATACAAGACCTTACAACATCGGTTTTTATGATCCTTGGAGTGTTAGGAAGCCTCCTAGAAAAGATGAATTAGTGGCTTAATGGATTAAAAGGTTTTTGGATCAAAATGGCTTCCAGACTGATATCACGATGTGAGGTGATGGATGTCACGTCCTGAGGGTTGTGAGACTCGGTTATTTTGTTTTGTAGTGGCTTATGATGTGAGCTATAGGTGGTCAAGTCGTGAAGGTCTGTTGACCGTTGACTTTCGTTGACCGTTGACTTTTGGACCAAGTTGACTTTGGGTCATACTTGAGGATTTTGGGCTATTGATTGAGATTCTATCTGGTTTTGGTGTTAGATGATTTGTGGGAGATGATTTGTGGGAGCAAGCAGTGCTGGGAAAGGGATCGTATCGTAGTGATCAGAGTTCTTCGATTCATGTGAGTTTCGCCTCATTGTAATCTAGGTCGAAAGCACCAATGCCGACCAACTAGTTGTGATTATCTATTAGTAGAGGAATGCGTTAGGGACTGTATGTGGTCATGTAGGATAGACTGATGACTCTTGGTCTAGGCTCTCTTACCTGTTCCTTGTTTGATTGTGGTTCTAGAGTAGGACCACCTGTCCGGGTGGCTATCTCACCTCTGAGTATATACGGTCTTGCATTCCTTGGATTGTTTATACTTAGTATGTTGCTATGTTGTAGTGATATATTAGATTTGTATTCTGGTATCGGGTGTGTTGTTATGTTGTAGTGATCTGCTAGATCTGTATCCTGGTATATAGGATATTGCTATGCAGTAGTGATTTGTAGTACTGTATGTCTATTTGCACTTGTTGGTTATCACCTAGTGGAGTGCCCTAAGGACTGTATGTGGTCATGTAGGATAGCCTGAGAACTCTTGATCTAGGCTGTCTTGCATGTTCCTTGTTTATTTGTGGCTCTAGAGTAGGATCATCTGTTCGGGTGGCTATCTCACCTATGGTTACTTATGGTTACACATTTCGTGGAAGTTAGTTGTTAGCGGGACAATGTGTAGTGCGAGGACTAGTAGGCGGTAATGAGATGTGTGATTGTTGTTTGTCTGTATTATGTGCCTACTTGATCCTTGATTATTTATATGTCAACATACGGTACTAGTGGGTTGAGGCGGTCCTGATTTGTGTTGTAGGCCAAGATACCCGATGCAAGCCGACTGTAAGTCGACGACACGGAGGCTCGGAAGGAACGGTTGGGTTGAGGCAGTAGGCCAACAAACCCTTGGCATTCCAGTACGATGACTGTTTGGGTCTGGGCATTCCAACCGGGAGGTTGTGGGCTGTTATGCATGTTTGTATGTTTATCATATGGTGTATTTTGGGGAAAACTCACTAAGCTTTGTGCTTATCCAGTTGGTTATTGTTGTAGGTTCCATCAACCATCATGGGAAGGCGAAGGCGTGACTGTACACATTCATCAATAACAATGGAGATTACGCGCTTTAAGATTACTCTAATTTTTAATAAATGTATTTGGAATAAATGGTTTCTTCATAATGAATTTATAATCGGGGAGATTTACTTAAAAAAAAATTTGTTGTGAAAATGGGACGTTACATAGCACGAGCAAAGGATTTTCACTGGTGGCCACAAAGTTTTTATGCATATTAAAACTTCTTCCTTTGGCACACTGTAACGACCAAAAATTATGAGGTAAAAATTTAATTTCTAATTTAACCAAAACATTAATTATCTTTAAGTCAACATTCAATAATTGCTTATCCAAATATTCAGAAGTACTTTTATAAGAAAACAATTATCAGAGTACAATCCCAAAATCATCATGATGCCGAAACATGGGTGGATGCGCTGCGATCAAGCCTGGCCCTTCCCTTTCGAACTGGAAGTACCTAAAACAATAACCATAAAAACCATACATACCATTGGGCCTAGCCGTAAGGACAAAGCTTAGTGAGTTCCCCAAAATACCACATACCATACATACCATTGGGCCTAGCCCGTATATTGGGCCCCAACCCACCATAATGGGCCTATCCCTACCAAACCAATATGCCTAGACCGATCATACAAATACAAAAGTCACAAAGACATTTAACATCTATGATGAGTGTAGACTCAACTAGTTTTAAACCTACTTTTAATTACAAGATTAACACACAAAGGAAGTGGACCTATCAATTGTAGTGTAGCTAAATAAGTTGGGTATCGAAGTCAGGGAACGGAAAATTAAAACTAATAACTAATGTTATCTAAAAAAACAAGTAATGAAATTAGGGTTTTCTCTAGTTTTGCAAGACTAGAAACTTAACTAAAACTCAACTAACTAACTAACAAATAAAGCATGTAAATTTCAAAACTAACTTCAATGATTAAAAAGGGTTTCTGTTTAGGTTCAACTCATTTACTCCTATGGTTCAAAAGCTTAAT